ACCTGCTACCTCTCTTTCAGGTTTGGGGCCCCCGGGGACAGACAGTTCAGCAGTGGGGGCGCCTACCCCAGCGTCCCCCTCTCCGCGCCCCTGCCCGGGGTGCCCACGCCCGTGTTCGCCACTGCGGACGGCCAGGAGAAGTTCGAGACCAAGGTCACCACGCTGGACAACGGGCTGCGCGTGGCCTCCCAGAGCAAGTTCGGGCAGTTCTGCACGGTGGGAGGTACGTGCCCTCGGGGCCAGGAGGGCTCTGTCCTGGGGGGCGGGCTCTGTGTCCTGGGGGGCGGGCTCTGTCCCCGCGAAGGCACACGCGGTGCCAACCTGGCCGTTTGGGGGGCTCGTCCCCTTTCCTCTCGTCTGTACCTGAAATTTCCGACGACCACACACGGCTCCATAAACAGGTGAACGCGTGGCTGTGGGACCATCGCAGCCGCGTGGGGAGCGGGTCCTCTCCCTCCTGTGAGGCGTCCGCCTGTGGAGTGGTGCTCACAGTGTTAACTGAAGAGGTTCCTTTTGCCTAAGTCTGTTTTGAAAACTGATTCAACCTGTCAAATTTTTTTTTTTTTTGCCAGTTCTCATTAATTCAGGATCAAGATATGAAGCCAAGTATCTTAGTGGAATCGCTCACTTTTTGGAAAAGTTGGCATTTTCGGTCAGTCCAGTGTGTGGATTTTGAGTGGTCATTGGGAAGGGTTTACATAGCGGTGCTTCTTTACAGGGGTTACTTTATGAAGGTGCCCAGTAATGGTAACAAAAGGTCACTTACTTTCGTGTTCCTTTGAAAGCAAAAATAAACTTTGCTAAGAGCTGTGCTAGGGGTTGTTTTGGGGTTGCTGAACCCCCGGGTGCCTTCCTTGTACTCCTAGTCCACGGACCGCTTCGACAGCAAGGACAGCATCCTGCTTACCTTGGAGCAGCATGGCGGCATCTGCGACTGCCAGGCGTCAAGGTACCCAGCTCGCGCACAGGCTTGTCACGCGTCCCCGTGGGATTGCTCGGTGGTCAGGGTCCCACAGCCCTCAGAGAGGCCGTGGCGACGGCGATGAGAAGTGGGCGGGCCGAAACCGGTTTGGCTCAGTGGATAGAGCGTCAGCCTGTGGACTGAAGGGTCCCAGGTTCGATTCTGGCTGGGGGCATGTACCTGGGTTGCGGGCACATCCCCAGTCGGGGATGTGCAGGAGTCGGCTGATTGATGTTTCTCATCGATGTTTCTGACTCTCTGTCTCTCTCCCTTCCTCTCTGTGAAAAATCAATAAAATATATTAAAAAAGAAGTGGGCGGGAAGCACACACTCACACAGAGGAACATCCCAGGGCCAGGTGGTGCCCCGAAGGCTGTGCCAGGGGACTTGAGCCAGGCAGGAGCTGGGCACACAAGAGCCCTGTCCCTGGGTGCTCACAGGTAGAGCAGGAGGCCACGCCACAGGCCATGGACCAGAGCCAGGGCCCAAGGGCGGTGGGAGTGTGGGGCCGGGCAGCTGACGTGGCCTGGAGTCGGGAAGGATGCCAGGAAGCCTGACACCGGGGCTGGCTCCCCCCTGGCCAGTCAGGTCGCACAGGAGACGCGGACACGG